TCTACTATTGCTTCTAATAAAAGTCCTTGGGGACTGTGTGCTTTCTATTACAGGTTCTAGATGGTAAGATCAGAAAACTCTTGCTAGAGGAAACAGCAGAGATCTCATTAAACTATAAGTCATAGCTACCCCTGGACATTTTAGATTTTGTGTCTAGAAACCAGCAGATGAGGGGAGGAGTCACCATCCTGGCAGGAGTACTCTAACCTGATCTCCAGAAAGAGATAAGGCTGCTTTTACCAGGAGGGGACAGAGAAGAATATGTGTGGAATTCAAATGATCACTGTGATGCCTGGTAGTATTCCATTGCTCAATTTTAATGACAAATGGACACATGCAGCAATCCTAGTTTGATAATTGTGTGATTATCTTGGGCTCAGTACTACCTGGAATGAGTATTTAGGTCACTTCACCAGGAAAATTAGCAGGATCTCTGATACTAATCACCGAGACAAGATTGTAATGTGTGCTCCTAACCTGTCTTTTAAAAAATTTCTTTCACTAAGAGGGACTTGCAGGAATGAGGGACTTCTTCTTGAAAATGTGTGGAGAAGAGACTCCATGATACATATACAGTGATCTGTGGTGGCCACAGAAGTACACCACTCGGATAGCCCTTTAGGAGAACCTGCTGCCAATAGTTGTCAGGATGCTACATTTTTAAGATCCACCACAGTGCTCATGTAAAGTCCATGTTCTTCCTGGGTTGTCCCTAGTTTATGACTGAGCACAACAGAGCTACTAAGACCAGGCAACTCTTCTCAGACATGGGACTCGGTTGAAGTTCTAGCTTTACATTGGGATTGTACTGCTTTTACTCCCCAAACATTTTTTTTTCTCTGTTCACAGATGTCACACTTGCATCAGAAACTGAAGGTGTTCCTGCTCCTGTTCCTCCTTTTTATTCTGCAGGCATTTCTCCCAGTAAATCACTTACACATTTAATTCTGTCTTGGAATCTGCTTCTCACAAGATTCAAATTGTTTCAGCAGATAATGCCTATGGAAGTTCTCATCATTGTGATGAAAACTAAGCACTCTCATATGTTATAGAAATTGTTTATTTCTTATGTCACTTTCTCATACCTCCTAACCATAAAGGTATAAATATTTTGCATGCAAATGAATTTTGACTATGTAAACAAAAGGATACAATTATATTGCATTAATTAATTTGAAATAGCATAAATATTTACCTGTGCTATTTTCCGTATGTCTGAAATCTAATAGAAGTATAGAGAAGTAAAATTCAAATTGTGTTTTATATATTGTCATATGTTCCTTCTCTGCTTGTAGGTATCATACTTCAAAGGAAATAATATTCTCTTCAAGATCCACCTCTACTTATTCAAATTTGAATAAATAGTCTAAGTAGGAAAAAAATTACATAGTTTTCAATTGTGCCATTATGGCAGAACTAGGGAAAAAAGTAATTTTAATTTGGATAAAACATCTCCCAAAGTAGGTACATGTAGGTATTGCTGCAGATGTAGAAGGATTGGCTGGTCTTCTGTTTCTTAGCTGACAGCTGCCATAATCTGTGACAGTGAATTAAAATGAGAACATGTCAAAATAGAATAATTACAGTGAAGTTTACACTGGTATGCAATGCAGAAAATACAGGGAGCATTGATAATATTGACCTCATTACTGTTGTATTTGTCTAACAAGAATGAAGTATTTAAGTCACCATTATGTCAACTTTGAATTTACATTTTTTTTGAATCACACTTTCTTTAGGGATTGTTTTCTTTCCTTATATAGGATATATATTTTAGACATTTGGATAAGAAAGAAGCATAAATAGTTGTTTCTACTTAAGCTAAAGTTTGTATCAGGTTAGCAGTTGATTTCTTTAAAAAATAAATACAGAATATGTTTGGGTGGCTTTTTCTATGCCTACCCTCTTGTCAAGAAATCTACCCTCAACTGCAGCCCTTGCTGAGTAACTATGGACATAGAACTGTAAACCACATGACTTTTCACTTTGTGGGCAAGTCAAATATCTAGTCCTCATTTTTCTCTCTACTCAGCTTGTTTTTGGAGTTTCAGCTGTCTGCCAGAGTTTCCACCTAAAATAGCTTAGTCTTAACTAAAATTCATTCTGTTGTGTGGTAAAGAGTCTGGCTGACATTAGTCTCTGGCCATTGGAAGAAAGCTTCCAAACCCTCAGATTTTCCAAGTGTTTGTTATAGTGGTCTCAATGGACCACATTTGTATTTATGCTAGTGAGATGGCTATGGAGAGCTTCTCGATAGTTTATGCTGATTAGATGGGCAAAGATAAGGGCTGCCATGCCTGAAAGATTTATCATGTGATTGCAGGGTTGGGGCTTTGAGCCACAGAATATCAGCCTGACCTCTGGCTAAAGAGAAGAAGGGGGCTGAAGATTGAGTTCAACTCCATGGCAATGATTCAATCAATCACACCTATGTAATGAAACCCCAATAAAAACTCTGTACAATGAGGTTCAGTTCCATTTTATGGTTGGTGATACACACAATGTGCCAAGAGGGTGACATATTCTGAAGATGAGGGTGATTCACATCTGGGAGCCTCCCAGATCTTGCCCTATACTTATCTTCATTTGGCTGATCCTGATTTTTATCTTTCATAATGAAACTGTAATGTAAATATAGTGCTTTCCTGAGTTCTGTAAGTTGTTTTAGTGAATTTTTAAACTGGGGAGATAGGTGAGAACCTCAAAATTTGTAGCCAGTTGATTTTAAGGGTGGGTAGCTTAGAACTCAAGACCTGTGACTAGAGTCTCAAGTGAAGCTAGTCTTTTGGGGTCGGTGACAACTTGTGTAGTTTGATCTAACATGGGTCAGCATCAGAACTGCATTGGTCAGTCTTAAAATCCTAAAGCATAATCTTTTCCCAGAGCTAATTATCTTATCTGCTGAACTTTCTATCTCTCTTCCCACATTATCAACTATTCAGTACAATTTCCTCCCTTCATAAACCTCTTGCCTGCAGTGCCTTCAGTTCAAGTCCACTGTCACATGTGTAACCCTTTCTGCCTGGGTTGTTTCAATACTATTTAAACTGGCCTATTTACACTGTCATCTATTCTGTATTTCTCAGCCACATTTAGCTTTCTTACTCTCCCTCAAACTCACATATCTTTTTAAGAGATGTCTGTTAAGCACCCACTGCAACATCTCCCAAGTAGCAGGCACATAGGTAGGTATATGTGGAATACACATCTTCCTGCTATCCAAACTCCATAGCTGCAATAATTCTGTGAGTTGGCTCATACACTCCTCTTCAAACCCATATTCTCTAGATTCCATAATTAATTTTGGACTCCAAACCAATAACTTTACTTATTACTTTCATTACTTTGCTTAGACCCATACACCTGAACAATATGGGTCTATTTCCATTCTACTGAATAATCTGTGCATGTCTCAAAGGTTGTTTCCCTCTTTACTTGTCTAAGCTCCACCTCCTCTGTGAGTCATTTTGGGGTTTTCCATTCCTCAGGAATTGCTTCCACCTCTGTATTCTTGTAGCACTTATTGTATGTATATCATATATGTATTGCACGTGGTTTTCATTTGGCTCCCAGTGTAACCCACTTGGAACTTTTGCTTTTTAAATGTTTTAAAAATTCCAGGTCCTTAAAAAACTATACCGTAGATTTATAAAAACAAGGAAATGTAATATGATTTCTTTGAATCTGAACAATGCAAAATTACATAATACTTTTAAGTTTTGCTATAGGTTTTTTCTAATCAGCATAATCAAGTCTGATCTGTAAAAAAAGCAATGCAGATGAAGGAAATACCTTATCTACTAATTTTTAATGTGTTGTAATCAACCCAATGATTCAAATATCTTTGAAATTTTAGAGATAGTATTATCCATATTGTTCTGTTTTTAATCACAATTACAGAGAACCTATATTCAATTTCTGTTCTTCAATAAGGCATGCATGATTTTTCACTTATTTGTTCTAATCCAAACTTTTCTCACTTTAACTTCTAAAGTCAACAAGGCTCACATCTCTCACCACAGATCCAAACAATAATGCACTTGCAAGCATAATGGGTGGCCCCACTCTTGCCAAATAGAGAAAGGATCATGTCCCAAACACTCTTTAAGTAATACAACATTTCCAGGTGTCTCTGCATCTATAATTTGGCATATCTTCTTACACTACTCATATGTCTACATATAACTGAAGACTAAATATTGGCATTCTCTACTTTTCTCATTTTGTGGCAAAAAGAAGGAAACCAAGACATCAGCCTCACTAATCAAAAAGAATACACAATTCAGCATTCATTTAATAGAGACATGCCTTGTGCAGAAATGGTTTTTGTGTGACAAAACATAGCTTTTTAATAAAAACCAAACCCTGGAAGTGACTACAGGAAATTTACTAAGTCTTTTGGGCACATGAGTTCTGGAATGTTAGGTCTACATTTGTTTTAAATATTCTGACCTGACTGATCAAAAATAATACTGAAAAACTAGAATGTTATAAAGCTGAATTTTTAAGTGCAGAGCATCTAATCTGTGAATAAAGATGAATGTGTTTGAAAATAAAGATAAAGTGAATAGTGAAAATTTGCTTCTCTGGAAAGCTTTATCTAATAAATTTCAAATTTCCTTGTAAGAATCCACATTATTTTTACTTACTGTCAATAGAAATACATTTTTGCAGATCTTGCTTTGTCAAATATAATCTTGTAGTTGTTCTATATTCCTACACCTGAGTTAATGATTTCTCTCAAATAGTACTTTCAACCATTTATAGGTTTGTGAGTCGATACACATTTTAAAATGCTCAGTAGGAAATTTTAAAAATTACCTCCTATCAACTCAAAAGGAGAGAAGAACTATGCTATATGCTGATATAATAGTCTATAAAATTTCATGGTGACTGAAAAGTTCAATTATTTTTACTTTCTCATCCCTGCCTCTTTAATTAGTTGTTAAGCATAGAGCTGATAAGAAATCATACTAGTAGAAAGAAATGTAGAAATGAACATCTTTTAAATACATGTTTATTTTAACATTTTACAGATGTATCATAGGGTCTAGTAGCTGATGACCATAGTTGGATCAAAGTTGACTTCAGGAATGAGCCAATGAACATTTTTTTGTAGATAGAGCAAAAACAAAGGTAAATGACTGCTTTTTGGAGAAGGCCCCAAGCTCCAATCACTGGAGGTTTCAATGTCTTCCATAGTGAACAGGATTGTCTTTGGAGGAACGTACCTGAAACCAAACCAAACATACATAGATTGAGAAGGCTTCTTGGGAAATTTTTCATATGTAGTAAAAGGTTGTGTTGTGGCAACAGTGAGTTGTATGCTTATAGGGCAGAGTAAATTCCCATATGATGCCTGAAATGAGAAAGCACAGAATAGCTACCAGTGGCGTGAGTTTTCTTAGTGGACCTCAGACACTGGACCAGAGAAGACAGTGGCCAAGAGACAATGGCAAGAGCAGGAAATAGATTTCATCATATTATTCAAGAGGGGGATACATTTCATCACATTGCCAAGGACGAGGAGCTTGGGCTCTAAATATGAAGGATGTATACCATCCCAAAGAGGACATCTTAGAGTCTTGGGCATATTTCTAGGGCTGAGTTGAATAGCGAACACTTATGTCAGGATTCTGCATACACTGCCTTGTCTCTTTGACAAAACAGAGGCAGGATTGCTTTGTAAACAAATTGTTTTAAGTCGCAGATTTGGATTCCCAAGTAACATCTCTCTCTTTCTTTGAAGAACATCTGACCATTTCCAAGGAAGTTAAATTTGACCTAAGTTTTGGATGTGAGAAGAAAGGTAGAATAGGGAATGGCAGAATTTTACCTAGAACATATATATCAGTAAGTTTATGGTATCAGCAGCACAATACTTAATTCAGGAAATGCCAATCATTGAAGAATCATTTTATGAACACTTCCTATATGCTAATAAAGTGCTACATATTAGAACTATAAAGACAAATAGGACCTATTTTTGCCCTAAAGGAACTTACATCCTTATGGGGTGTAAGCAGAAAAAATAAACAGAAAATGACAATACAGTGTGCTACATTTTCTGATGAATTTGTTGAAACTACTCAGGGAAGGGAGTACTAGTCTACTTTGGGGCAGTGGGGAAGGGTCAGAAAATATTTTCAAGGAAGTGTGGCTGAGGTAAGTCTAAAAATCAAATTTACGTGTTTGTGAGTTTGTATAAAAGGCTATCTGCTGACTTGTGAGAAGAAATTCTATCAGTGGTATTCAAAGATGAGTTAGTAATGGGTCTTGAATGTCAACCAGAAAATTCTGACTTGAAAGTAATAGGAGATCATTTATTGTCAGTGGAACAATCAGATGGAAAGAAGATTGTAGGTGGAAAGGTTTATTAGTAATTGGTTTTGTTCAATAACTTAAGTGTCAGGCAATGGAGACCTAGATCTAGGTGAATGGTTTTGGAGAAAGCACAGATTGTCAGAATGTGAGTCTGAGCTGGGCTCGGTGGCTCAGCCTGTAATTCCACACCTTTGGGAGGCTGAAGTGAGTGGATTGCCTGAGCCCACGGGTTCAAGACCCGCCTGGGCAGCGAGACCTCATCTCTACAATAAATAAAAAATCAGTTGGGCGTGGTAGCGCGTGCCTGTAATTCTGGCTACTCGGAAAGCTGAGGCGGAAGGATCGCCGGAGCCCAGCAGGTCGAGGCTGCGGTGGCCGGGAGTGGCCACTGCACTCCAATCTGGGTGACAGAGTGAGACTCCAACTCAAAAAAAAAAAAAAAAAAAAGAATGTGAGTCTGGATTCTGGATTTTTCTCCAATGGTTTTTCCTAAGGAATGATCATTTGATTGAAAGTAGAGGAGAGAAGAAAGTCTTAGGTGAATCAGCAAGAGCACCTTAACTGATAACTGGTTCAAACACTGCGAGTGAAATTCTCTTGAGATGTAAATACAGGTTTTGAAAAAGACAGGGAAATAGATATAAACAGAGAAGAAGGTTAATGTCCACTTACATGCTTATTTGTTCCTTTGTTTAACAAGGCTGCTGCTATTATTTTTTCCAGCATTATACAAATGTTTTCAAAGAAGACATGAATGACTATGTGAAAGGACTGGCACCAAATGTTTTGAGTATGGTTGGTGAAAATTTGTGAATTAAAATAAATTTTAATATACCTAACTGTTATTTTAATACCAAATAATCTCTAGAATAAAGTGATATGTGACACGTAGGATAGTCCTAATGTGAGAATTTAGCAGAATTGAATAATTTATCATGATAAATATCACTGAGTAAAAGGAGAAGAAAACACTTAGTGAACATTTATATTCCAGACATTGTGATAGGTGCTTTATCAGAACAAAAATACTTCTTGAATTACAATGTGTACATAACATATACATGACGGAATATTACGCAGCCATAAAGAAGAACAAAATCATGAGCTTCACAGCAACCTGGATCGACTTAGAGCCTATGACACTGAGTGATCTTTCACAGAAACAAAGAACTGAGTATCACATGTTCTCACTCATAAGCAGACCTTGAACAACTATCATAATACTATAAAAAAAGAATTGGCAGTAGCGGGAAACAGCAGGGGAGTGGGAAGGCCGAGGAGACAGTATTGGCAGGAGTGGGAATCTGCCTGGGGAAAGAGGCGCATCCCTCATCAACAAGGGTACCTGCATAATGAACATTTGTATACCTAACCCTGAATTGTACCCCACATATTCAAAATTAAAAAAAAAAAGTTTAAATAAATAAATAAATCCTAAAGAACTTAAAAAAAAGTGTACATATCATCAGATTTTATCATTCTGGTTGATAAGCTTACTAGAATGACATTAGTTCATCCTAACAAATAAGATTATAGCATAAGCAATTTTGAGAAGTTACTTAGAAATCAAAAAGTAAAGCTTTCAACTAAATTAAAAACTTTTATGGCAATTGGCTGTAAGTGGCATATTCTTTTTTGGTTTTTTTTTTGAGTTGGAGTTTCACTCCTTTGCCCAGTCTGGAGTGCAGTGGCACACTCACTCACGGTCACCCCAGCGTCGACCTGCCTGGCTCTGACGATCCTTTCGCCTCAGCCTTCCAAGTAGCCGGAATTATAGGCGCGCGCTACCACACCCAGCTAATTTTTGATTTACTGTAGACACAAGGGCTCTCCGAGTTGTCCGGGCTGGTCTCGAACCCGCAGGCTCAGGCAATCCATTCGCCTTGGCCTCCTAACATGCTGGGATTACAGGCAGAGCCACCAAGCCCAGTTGGCATATTCTTGATAATGCATATTATCTACCTTTGTTTATAGGCAAATTCTGTATTTGCCTATGCTCTAAGCTCTGCCCCAAAATGAAGATGGTACATTTTGGTGTCCCTGTTGGTAGAAGCTACTTTCTGGCAGGGCCACTGCCCATTTTTCTCAGGGTTGGAGCACCTCAAATTCATCACTGCCACAAGAAAATTCACAAAGCAGATATCCTACAGATCTCAGGTCACAATAATACTTTCCATATATGAAAGGTAGTGCATAATTGTACAAATACAAATGAAGATCAATACTCTCCTCGCTTAATTTATCTCTAATTTATCTCTCAGTATCTTTTTTGAAGTATTCATGTCTTGAGGTTAAAAAAAAAAAAAGAACCAACAAAAAGCCTGCTTATAACAAAATAAATTACCCTTTGATATTCAGTGCCGCAACCTACTATTTGAGAAAAACAGATCTCCACAAAGGCTTAAGATATTCAGAATTTGACAAAGTGTGACCCATTTACGGAAGCAGAAAATGCACCACAGGTTTTTTAGTGTTTCTTTTTTTTTTCTCCCCAAAGCAGATAAATCATATTTACCAAAGAAAAGAACTGCTTCCAGACTTGCTTATTTAGGAAAAAATAGGGAGAGAAACAGAAGAGGCAACATAAAGTAATTTTGACTCAGGAAGATACTCTCAAGATACAGAACGTGGTGGGCTTTAAAAGATTTCACAGCAATGTCAGAATACTGGAAGGATTTGATGAATTTATGTAAAAAAGAGAGTGGTTGCTGGAGAGTCCTTCAGACCCTTTACATACTGTGAGGATGTTGAACTGCTTATAGAAGCCATGTGCTTGTGTTACCATCTTTCACAGGAAATTTCTAAAATTGTTGTCAGAATTTTAAATACACTGGAGAAGGAATAAACAACATTACAATGCAAAACCCACATTCTGGCTTAGGTGTTAAGCGCTCATCTCCTCAACAGCACTTTTATATCTTTCTGTATGGAACAGTTTCATTTTTCTCTTTTTTACTAGACCATCAACTCCTCAAAAGTGGGAACTCTGTCTTGCACAACCTCATGTGCCTGGTTCCTGTGCTGCACTTAACACGTAATATATCAACAAAAGTTTACCAAATATAAGAATGAGGAAACAAACACAAGTCCATGGGCAGTTGGTTATACAAAAACAATAGCATATATAAATGTATAGATTGAGACACCTTCATATTATTAAAGTGTTTAAAGTAGACCCTTGTGTTCACTGATTATGTTTTAATCTATGAAAAGCCCTTTCAAAAAGGACTTATGTAAAATGAAACTCATTGATATCATTCAATATTTTTATACAATATCAAAATAACATGTCCTGTAGTTAATATTATATTAATATTATTTTTAAAATTTCGAGTGGTGAGCATTATGTTGAAAAACTGGAACAATAACTGGGAGATTTCATTTAACCACATTTTAAAATTTCACACTGACTTGTGCTTTAAGTCAAAATCAGGGTTGTGACTTAAATTGAGTTTTCTAACAATCTAGGTGTCTTTTTTATTTATTTTAATATACATTTAAAGTTATATAAAAGATTTTTTAAAAAAAGGCTTTCAAATGCAGTTCCTTGATTCATTGACACTCACTCTTAATAGCCTGATGGGATAGATCAGATGTGACTAGAATTAGTTGTGTCCACAATGCTGTAGATCAAATTAAGAAAAAAAAATGGAAATAGCTTTTTGGACGTTGGAAACCACTTCCAGTCTAAAGCCACAAGGGCAGAAATAATCAATAATGGTAGCCATTTGGTTTCATTCGTTTCTTTTAATGAACACACTCACCACTCACTAAAAGCATTCTTGCAGGATGGGGATGGATTTCAATTCTCTGGTGACTGACAGAAATAGAGCCTTTGATAGAACCTGGAGGGGCTGCATTCTCTCTACTTTTCCCAGCCCTCATCTGTAGGCTTTTGTGTTGTTTA